TCTTCTGTGCTTGGGGTGGTGGTATGGCGGCCTGGAAGCCTTTTCTTGTCTGCTGGGAGTGGCTCACCTCCTCTGTGCTTGGGGGGGGGGCTGGTACCATGGCCCGGAAGCCTCCTCTTGTTCGCTGGGAGCAGATTACCTCCTCTGTGCTCTGAGACTTTTGACAGTTATGTTTTTACTTTATCATAAAGGAAACTGTAAACCCAGAGAAAGTGTATATTAGCAATTCTGTCTTCAGAATATCAATTAAGATTGGTGAAGAAAGTTATTTATATGTAACACATAATGTAAATGAAATAATGATCAGTATAGAACATTGTTCATTCTCACATTAATGTGTTTAATATGATAATAATTCTTGATTGCATTTTCATCTTATTTTATGAAAGATATTTGCTTTCTGTTCACTTAATATTGACCTAGTTCTTGATCTTTTTTTTTTTTGGTACCGGAGGTTGAACCAGGGACCTTGCACTTGTGAGGCAGGCGCCAGAAACACTGAGCTAAATCCGCAGCCCTATATTGACCTAGTTCTTAAAACTTTTTAAATGTAAACTTTTAGCAAGGTGCTTAAGATTAAGAATAGATTTTAGTTTTGGAGAGGAAGGTAGCTTGCTTATCTTCCTGTTGGCTTATTTATTTGTTTAAAACAACATTATTTTAACTTGGTCATTTTGTTTTGAATTTTAACATTGTTCTTATTTCTTCTATTCAAAAATTCTTGATGTGTTGAACCTTCTACCTATTTTGGTTTTTTTTTGTTTTGTTTTGTTTTGTTTTTGGTATCGGGGATCGAACTTGGGTCCTTGCACTTGCACAGCAGGTGGCAAAAGCAGTGAGCTAAATCCCCAGCCATACCTATTTTGTGATCAGTGGAAATTTCATGGGGAAATTATAAGGCATTCATAAAATATTATGTTTTATAAGAATGAACTATAATTTTTTTTTATTTGAGAAAACATTACCACTTTTCTAAGAACCCCTAAGATGAAGATTTGATATCTTCTGTAAATTCTGTTTCAGTCAGAGGACAAGGAAAATGATTATGTTTGTATCTTTTCCTCACTTTTTTCTCAAAGCAGATGTTGTGTACCGGTCATATACAGTATCAGGCATTGTGCTAACCACTTAGGTATATTAGGCTGTAATTGTTTTATCAGCCTTATGAAATGTGTGCTCCTATTATTTCCATTTTATATTGAAGTAGAAAGCATAAGTAACTCAAAATATAATAGATGATGGAAACTGGTATTTCATTCCAGATCTGACACATAGTTAATGATTATACTCATACCAGTCTTATAGTATGTATTCAGTAAAATTTCTTGAAAAAGAAATGTCACTTATCTGTTGAATTTAAAAGTAAAACTGGAATGATTGTGTAAACTATTTTATGTATAATAAATACTATATAGTTACTAATTTTCTACCTCTTCTTGTAGGAAAAAAGACTGAAAGAAAGGGAAGCCAGAAGAGAAGCTAACAAGAAACAAGCCAAGGTAAGGTTTTATTTATATATGATCACATATATAAAATTAGATAATTTATATATATATATATAATTTTGTAAACGCCATTAAGATTTAAATGAGCAGGCGTTTACATTTAAATAACACTGTTTTCATTGTTGAAATAGACTTTACATCCCTGTCTTCTCAATGTGTATTTTATATTATATATCTAGACATCCCAATTAGATTTAGGTACTTGTAGCCTGTTGTTTCTTTCATATATTCATGTGTTTCCTCTATGATGCAGGATGGAAAATGCCTAAGATAATTTGTTCATTGGGCTTTGGCCTATTCCTCTTACTATGTTTTTACATTACATTTTATGCCTACAGAAGCCAGGATTGATAGGATTTTCAACTGTATTACTTTAGTCTAGGTTGAATGGCCTATTTGAGCTCAACTTCATAATAACTCTGAGAGTATTGGTTGCTTCAGTTAGCTCTTAGAATCTGTAAGGCACTCTGTATCTCCTACCTTCAGTGTATTCTGTAAACAGAAAAGTGCAGTTTCCCTAATATCTGTACATCCATCTGTCCGTCCATCCAGTCATAAATACCATCCATGCTATGATTTTTATCTGTTAGATTTGATGCTGAGAAGGATTTCTGTATTCTAAGGACATTTAGTAGAAATCATTTCATAGAACCAGTGCCCAGTAAATGTATGCCATTTCTCATGCTATATCTCATTGTTCTATGCCTGACTACCCATGATTTCTTCTTGGCACTTCATAAAGATCTGACTCCCTTGAGCAAGCCCAACATTCTTTGTCAGTTTTTTTCCATGCTGGCCTTGACACTGAGAAAGCAAGTCAGCGATAATAACTCATGCTATAGTTCTAAAGTGGGAAGCAATTACTCTACAGTCTAAGATGAAAAGATTGCTTATATACAATATTAAATATCATTCTGTCTTCAAAGGTGCCCAAAACTGAAAGCTCCAGTATGAGCATCCTGACTGCTAAATCAGGTGGTAACTTTTGCATATGCTTTTAAAATGTAGAAGTGAATTTCTATGGCATCGAAATTAGATGTTAGGGGCTGTGGGGCAAGAAAATTGAAATTTAAGAAGAAAATTTCTGTGCTATTTATGAATATTGTCAGTTCAGCATTAAAATAAGCCTATTTTGTTTCATTAAGCAGATCTCATCTCTGGATATGTAAGTGTGAAATGAAAGCTATCATATAGAGCTAAAAGAAAGCCCTGTTTACTGCATTCCTTTGTGTGTATTTGTGCATGTTTGTATATAAGGCCTACACTCTTAACCTGTTTACACAGATTGAACTAATGGCAGATGGAGAGTATAATTATACTATGTCTATACTGAAGATGTACACATTTTTTCTTGTCATAATTCCTTAAACAATTCAGTAGAATAATTATTTATATAGAATTTATATTGTATTGGTTATTATAATTAATGTGGAGATAATCCAAAGTATAGAGGAGGGCTGTGGATGTAGCTAAGTGGTAGAGTACTTGCCTAGATAGAAAAGGACCTGGACTCAAGTTCAATCACCAGTTCCTCCAAAAAGTGTGTGTTTATGTGTGTGTATAGGTGTACATGTATATGTATATGTGGGTATATACATAATGTATATATGTACATATTTTGTGTGTGCAGATATACATATGGTGATCGAAATACACAGTAAATGCTTAAAGCTTTTAAAAACTGTATTGCAGTAGAATACACATTGGCACTAATCTCCTCAAAAAGCTTCCCCTCCCTTGGACACATCTATCCCATTTTTCTGGCTATTTTCTGGCCACTCTGGTTCACGACATTAAAGCAGCCATCACATTGCAACTAAAGACATGAAAGAGGACTTCCAGAACTGTTTTAGAAAGTGGAAAAAATGGTGGGATAAATGTGTTCAAAGAGAGCAAAGATATCTTGAGGGAGATAATTGGCAATGTGTCTTTTTCTGTAATAATTTTTTAAAATTTAAGCATTCACTGTACTTTTTGATCCTCTCTCTCTCTCTCTCTCTCTCTCTCTCTCTCTCTCTCTCTGTGATTTTATATAAAGGATTTTGGCACATTCAGGGTTTGGTGTCTGTGAAAGGGTACTAGAACCTATTTATCTTGTATTTTGTGGGAAGACTATTATTTAATGTGGTTTATTATTACTTGATGCTATATGCCCATCTTTCATAATGGTTTGCACTATGAAACTGCTCTCACCCTTGAGTCTGCTTTCTGGATTCCTCTTCTTTTATTTACCTATGAATTCATATGTGTATTTGGCTTTAATACTGTGTCAGCTGGGGAAACAAACTGTAAATGTTATTAGAATTAGATTTTTGAACTGAGGCTGATCTCTAATGTGAACTCCTTGATCCAAGTTCCTCTCCTCCCCTCTCCTCCTTCCATTATTGTTCTGTGAGTTTGTTTCCTCACATCTAAGAAGAGAGGGACTTTCTTGTCAAAAGAAGGTCTCACTTCTGTATTGTAACGATTGTCCGGAGAACTAAAAAGAAGAGACTCCATTGTTTAGGTGTTTACCTAAGAACTTTTAAATAGGCAGAGACTGTTTATTGCTCTGAAGTATTTAACTCTCTCTATTTCACAGCTCTCGTCCCTTGAGTGTGAAGAGTTGCGAGCCCTCTAGTAAGAATACTTTTTCCAGACAGCTGAATGGCCATTGTAGCCAGGACTGGAACATTCCTCAACCCAGAGTACTGGCAGGAATGACAAGCTCAGGCTTGCTGACAGAGCCCGTGAAAGTAGTTTAAACTAACCTTTCTGCACTCAGCTTCTTTTCAAATGAAAGTGACAACAGATGAAGGCTCTTGGGCTTTTCAGGTGTGTGTGTGTGTGTGTACACTTTTCAGGTGCTTCTTGGACATAGACACAGAGGATACTATTTGAGGAGACTTGGTTAAAGGGGTGATGTCCCAAACTTCTGTGATCCAAGAGAAAATATGTGATGTGAATTATCAGGTTTCTCTATCATAGCTGTGCTTTAAATGACTGCTGTGACTTAATTTTAGACTAAAGTTTTTCTTTAATTTTACTTAAACATCATCATTTTGTGGCTTCAGGATTTTTGTCTTCGGAGGGACTTTTGTCAGATTCAATCATTTTTAAAAAAAATTCCTGAACCTACAGGATATCTAGATGGTATCTTTTATGGGAGAGGGTGGTTTAGATGTTATCTTAATGGTCAAAGACAGTGCAATTTGTAGACTTAATATTCTGGCAGGAATAGTCCTACCTGTTTAGAGCTCTTTTAAAGAATCAACACATAAAAGTATGAAAAACGGAACTCAGATAACTGTCTACCTTGTTTTGTGCGTCGTACAGCATACATGGTATTATACAGGTGGAACAGAGAGGACACAGTATTGTTTTACTTATTATTTTTTTATTTTTTGGTACCAGGGATTGAACTTGGGGCCTTGCATTTGTGAGGCAGGCAGCGGCACCACTGAGCTAAATCCCCGGCCCTTGGACACAGTATTGTTTTAAAAACTGGAAAAAGTGTTTCAGTGAAAGTTAATGGAATTATCCTTATTTCCCAAAAATGTGAAATCTTAATGATAATGTGAATTTTCAATTTTAGAAATCATGACTACTGGTTGTATCTTCCTTGGCATATTGAGAAGTATTTAAGAAAAATTCACTTAAAGTGTAAGTAGGTAAAATAAAGTTGGAATAGGCCTCTCAGGAATCTGATTCACCATTTTGTTAAAAGACATTAAAGGATCTGTCTGGTATATGTTATGTACAGTGTCAGAAATTTAAGAGAAACATGAAGGCAAAACTTTATGAAGGTTTCCTCAGTATCCAATATTTAATGGTTTAAGAGATGTACCAGTAGGTGTTTTTGGTATCAAAACTATTTTTATCAAAGAAATATTTAAATTGCACAATGGAATTCATTCTGCTTTAGCTAGAAGAATGTGATATATTTTTATAACTTAGAGACTTTTAAAACTCAGATCTGAAAAAATAATTGTGACAGTGATCAATAGACCATATTGTTTCTTGGGTTCAGAGAAGTTATATAACCCTGCAAATACAGTTTCACCTCATTATCTGACTGGATTTACTGTTGCTTTGATAGTCACAAGTCCTTGTAGTAATGTCAGGTGGTTGGAAGGATTTTGCAAAAATATAAAAAGGAGTAACAGTACTGAAATTGAGGACATAGAGTCTCAGAAATATATCAGGGCTTTGCTGCTTTTGAAAATAAAGCAGGATTTATTAAACAAAAGTATAATGTTGATGAAACTGAACACTGACTATGAAGGAATAAAGAACAGCGGACATCTCAGAGACACTTAAATATCAGAAAGTTAAAAGTTGCCTTGAGTGTGTTATAGGTGATACTTACAGTTCATATTTTTTAAGCGCGGGCAAAATTACACTAAAATCTAAAGTTATCAAACATTTTGAAGTTGAAGTTTTATAGACAGGTTCTATAGACATTGTAAATTCTCACTTTTTAAAGTCTTTTTGACTTTTAGTGCTGAGCTGGTTTATTTACTTCACAATAATGGTCCTAGGAAATAGTTTTTTGATACCTATCATGGTCTTAGTGCTAACAGAGAAATATTTCTGAAGTTAGTTCTTTCAGGATAGGAGGTCTAAAGTAGAGTTACATAATTTTAGAACTTGAATAGATCTGAGAGATGCTTTGCGCTGATTTTCTACTGTAGTCTATATTGACTCGTGTGGTTGTCTAGTGAGAAAAATATAAAGGAAAGCTACAGTTTGTGTTTGTTTTTTCTACTTCTTTTGGTAACAAACTGTCCTTTCATTTTTTTAAAAAGTCATTACTACTTGACAAAATGAAAACCCTCATGTTGATCCTTAAATCTTTTTTGAAATTTTTGTGATCCACAAAACTCAAGAGTAAGTTTAGCATGCACTCATCTACCCCAGTGATTTTAAATATTCTATTGAGTGACTTTGGCATTTCTTGGATATAAGTCCTTCACCCTAGGAGACAAGAGGGCTCTGTAGGCAGTTTTCTAGGC